GAAATTATAAGTGATTCAACTCAACAAGCTTCTTTCCCTTCCCACCTTGTTACTGCCGAGCTCATCAAGAATTTATGTTTTCTAGAGCACTTATTTTACTCTTATAGAAAGTCATCAAAATAACAAGATTGCTTTAATGTAAGCTGCAATTCAGTCATTTCATATGATTATTGTCATTAAACACAATGTCTTGCTCTCCCCGTCCTGGATTTGGCTTCAAGCCATCTATTTGGGCTTCTGATGTCTACTTCTATTTTACATGCGTGTTTGAAGCAGGACACGTTTAGATTTGACTCTTCCACCTCACCTGTAAGCACAGAATCCAAGATGGATGGCAAATATGGAACTCTGTGCAAGAATACATACGATCATATGAAGTGACTGGACTGTGGTACAAAAACATCATGCTCTTAAAATAGCTTCATCGTCACCGATACTAAACCAGTATTTTGCGGAAAAAATGTAATCGAAAAAATGTAATTGTTAACAAAAGCTGGTTGTGTTACCATTTTACGTCACTTGTGCTCCAATTTGCTGAATTCGTGTTATAGTGTTCGCTATAATTCAAAGAACAAATATAAATGACTTCAAACAAGTTCTTTCGCAACCTTCAAATACTTGCGGTTTTTCAAAAAGTAATGTAATACAAAATTTGTACTTGCTTGTTTTTGAAAATTATACTCAGCCCGGTTTTTCAGATCGTCTCAGAAGATGCATGGTCTGAGATAATAAACTTTGGAAGTACTGATGCTCCCACTCCTTTTGCAAGATATATTGGCCGAACTAGAAGAGATGCCAGCACATGTAGTAAGCAGATTGAAATTAAGCTTTTCGATCTTGCTGCAATCAATGGATTTGTCCTTTAGCATGCGGATTACCTCGCCGTGATTGTCCCGCAGGTATGAAAGGACCACCTGGCGCACCCGGGGAACCTGGCGCCATTGGACCAGACGGAAAAGACGGCCCACCAGGACTGCAAGGCAGATATGTCTCACAGCCTATGGAGTTTCCAAAAGGTTGATTTCAGCTTTAGTTTAACCGTACTCATTCTAAATTGTCAGGATGCATCCGATGTCCTGCTGGAGCTCCTGGTGAACCTGGACAAGACGGTCAACCAGGTCCTCCCGGAAACGATGGAGCAGTTGGAAAACGGGGAGAACCTGGACTGGAAGGAGATGGTGGACCTCGTGGAGAAACTGGTGATCAGGGTGAACCTGGCATGGATGGCCAGGTGAGAAATTTTAGCATTTTCAAAATATTATTTGAGCATCGCGAAATCCTACCGTACCAGGTAAATAAAAAAACTGGAAGAACTATCAAAGTGTGCAGCGTATTAGTAGCTTTTTTGCTAATATGTGCAACTGCACACATTATCCAGGATGAGCCAACGGTCAGACATCGTTTTCCTTTCTTTGCTTCTTGTTTGCTTCGTTCCTTGAAAGCAG